GTTTTGATTCAGGCCACCTGTGCTCACCTGCCTCTGCTGGGTTTCGAGAGCGGCTTCAGATGAATAAAAGCAAAAAGAATAATAATAATAATAATAATAGTAATAAACACAGAAACGTGGTTGCGCAGGCAGGAGGTGGGCTTTCCCAGGGAACACCCTGCCATTGAAAAGCTTTCAGCCTGAGCAAGGAACAGTGTTTCTGTTGCAAGCTGGTAGATACAGGGATGTTTTATTTCATGCTTTGCTTCCGACACAATTATTACCAATTTGTAACTTTTTGTATCTGCCAATCACAATGCACGTCAAAACAGAGATCAAGTGGATTACTAGCTACATTTCAATATCTACTTACATTCAAATGCACAATTAAGAAGCAAAAATTCTAAAAAAACCCCAAAAACCATTCCAGTTTCTCACTATTTCAAGCTAATAAGGGGGATCAACAACCTTGTTGCATCTGAAAACATGAGACATCCATTTCTTGAGTGATATTATGGGGGGCAAGAAAGTAGGGAGAGGTGTAACCATCGGACAGTCGCAGTGGGACACTTGAACATTTGTGTGGGCATAAGAAATGTTGGAATGGCTGAAACCATGGCCATGTCCACCCTCCAGTCCTGTGGGCAATCCATAGAGCTGTGTGCCCTGAGGACCAGTTGGAAAGGTGTGCATCCTGGGACTGGTGTGCTGGGAAAGCCAGAGGTGGATTGAAAGAGTTCCTTGGGCATAAGACACTGTGATAACCTGTGGTAACCCATAATAACCTGTGATAACGTTGACAACTGTGTGCTGCAGTATCCCATGGCAGGTTGGTGTTCCAGGCTGGCTCCGCTGGTGGTTGTACCATAAACATGCAACACTGGAGCAGGCTCCATCTTCACACAGACTCAGTGGGAGCAGAGGAAAAATGGCTGCAACGTTTCATTTGGTATTTGAGCTGGTAAAGCCTGATTTGTCTTAGGAAGCGACGCCGTATCCCTGGCCTTCCAGTTAGCTTCACCTGGCGTGTCCCACCACAGGCGTTCACGTGAGCACACAGCGAAAGCCCACTGTCCCCTGCAGTCCCCTGCAGCTCTACCCAACCCTTCACTTTGCCATAGTGGGTTTCGCAGCCGAGTGGGAAGCGTGGGGCCTAATTTCTAAATATTTTAATTCATTATGCTCCGTTCGAGTAATTGTGGATGTAGAAAGGGAATGAATTTGCCTGGACATGCAATCATTTCCAAACATAATAACCCAGAATACCAACCTTGTGGTCAGAACTTCATTTTTTGAGCTTTTTAATTCTTTGTTTGGTGTCAGTGTGGGACAAACCCACATCTGTCAGAATAGGTGCCTGGAGTTGGTGACCCAGACTGTCTATTCCAAAGCCCTAATTAACAATCTTAAAACTCTGGCCTGGCTTCGTACCACTCGTGTTTTCCTCCTCCTACATTCCATTCAGTACTTGCAGTAACACACTGGACCCCTATGCTGAACGTGGAGCTCCTTCTGTGGTTGCGAGAATTCTGCAGGAGTTTACAGGGAAACGGGACAAATACTGGCAGGAGAGATCCAGGCAGGAACAGCAACAGGATGGGGTCATGGAACCCTCAGCCTAAGGCTGGTGGAAGTGTCATAGTTGGCAGCCTGGTGCTTGCTTACCTTGGGCATCAGTTTATGGCCACAGCTGGAGAAAGCACATAGGGCTGGGTAAGCCCTTGGATCTGACACAACGTGGTTGGTCGCTCACGTGCTCCTGTGCTTCCATGAGCTTCTCCCAATAAATCTGAAGGCTTCCTTAGTGCCAGTAGCGTCAAAGTTGCTCTGTTGTTCAACAATCCAGTTGGAAATGCCACCTGAGTGAGTAAATAACTTTTCATGGCAGCACTTTTTCGAGTCATTCACGCTACCTTCATCACCAGGAAGCATTTGTGCAGCAGAGAGGTATTTGAAAATGGGCTGGCCTGCCCATCGGAAGAGTTATGTTGTGTAACTGCAGTGAATCCCTGCCCTGTTTGCTACATATCCATGAGCTTACGGATACAGATCAAGGCTTTGTTTGAACGTGAGGAATCTCTCATACCTGGAGCTCTAATTTAACTTTCTTCCTTTGCAGTCCTTTTGACCATGGGTTGTATGGGCTTGCTTGTATTTAAAGTTCCTGTGAGGGCATTCTGAGGGCAAGAATCAAGGAACAAGAATAAGAGGGGAAAAAGAATCATTTGTTTCATGCTACTTTGGGCAAAGAGGCCCTACAAATGTCCACAGCAGAGTCACATCATTGCAGAAAAAATCCTCCAACAATGTTAAGTCAAACTGTGAGAGTATTATGCATCATAGAC